CACTAGAAAAAAAAAAAAAATAGAGGGTTGTGGTGGGGGATTTAGCTTAGCAGCTAAGTGCCTGCTTTGGCAAGTCAGAGATCCTGAGTTCAATCCCCGGTACCTCGGAAAATAAAAGGAGGTTGTTAGAATAGAGTATAAATGTGTACAGGACTTATTTACATAAATTAGATTCTACTGCACAAAAGTTTTTTCTGTATATTAACAATAAAAAGCCTAAAAAAGAAATTATAAAAACAATTCCATTTATGATAATATCAAAGATAATAAAATATTAATAGTTTCAATGAGCAACATGAAGAATTGGTACAGTGAAAATTATGAAATGTTGCTGAATGAAATGAAACAGGATACCGATAAAGATATCCGCTGTGTGAATGCTGTTAAAATGTCAATAATATCCAAATGACCTACAGGTTCAATACAATCCCTAAATGGGTGTGGTGCTACTCACCTATAATCTTGGCGGGTGGTTGAGGCAGGAGGAACAAAAATTCAAGGACAGCCTGACTAACTTGGCAACTTAGCAAGACCCTAAATTGTCTCTAAAAAATTATTGTCTCTAAAAATAAAAAATAAAAAGAGGGTCCTGGGTTCAGTTCCCCCAGTACTGGAGGAAAAAAAAGAGGAGATCTCTACAAAAATCTCAATGGTACTTTTTTCAGATTAAAGAAAAAAAAGCACAGGTATGGCGGTGGTATATTACCTGTATTGCTAGAGACCCACCTGGGCAAGGCAGCAAGCTTATGGGATCTTAGAGGATTCCACATAGCCAAAGGATCTTGGAAAGCAATGAACAGATTTGGCTGTCTTGCACTTCCTAATGTTAAATTATCCAACAGTGTGGTGTTGTCATAAAAAGAAGACATATAGACAAATAGAAAAGACCAGTCAAGAAATACACTCTTGTACGTATGGTCAAATGATGTTAAACTAGAGTGTAACCACCATTCTGCAGGTAAGGCGCCTGCTGACCGACGGGTTAGGTATAGGGAGAGTCACGTCCAAATCCAAGCCTTACACAAAGGATTTGAACAAATATTTCTCCCCAGAGGAGGTAAGAATGGACGGTAACACGTAAGAAGATGCTAAATCTCATGAATCATTAGGGAAATGTGCATCTGAAGTATATTGCAAAGCCCTGTCTCAAAACAAAACATTAAAATTACTGTGATTGCAAAATTCCATTTCTGAGCATGTACCCAAAAGAATTAGAGATGATATCTCAAATAGCTTATTTTTACATTCATGTTCACAGAAGCATTATTCATAATAACCAAAGGTAGAAACAATATAAATGTACATCAATAGATGATTAAATGAAATGCTTTGTATGCATATAAGGGAGATTGATTTAACCCTAGAAAGGAAGGCAATTCTGACACCTGGTGCATCATAAATGAACCATGAAAACATGCTAAATGAAATCAACCAATCACAAAATGATAAATATTATGATTCCACTTATAACGCACCTATAAAAATCAAATTCATAGAACTACAAAGTAGAATGTTGGTTGGCAAGGGCTGAGAGGAAAGGAGAATGCAGAATTGTTTTGTTTTTAAATTTTAAAGAAGTAGTACATGTTTAGCTGGACATGGTGGCCCACGCCTATAATTCCAGCACTTGGAAGGCTTGGTAGGAGAATTGCTGAAGGTCTGAGGCTTGTCTAGTGTTCTTTAATGGGTAAAGGGAGCTTCAGTTTTGTAAGGTGACACATTTTGGAAGCTAGTTGCACAATCAGAATACTTATATCACTAATGAACTGAAAATTGTTAAGATGATAAGTTTTACATGTATTTTACCATGTTTTAATTACTTCACACCTTGAATGCATGAAAGATTATTTCTCTAATTTCCTACTAATGAACATTTTAAATTCCTGGAAGGAAATATTCTGGGTTAACTGGTGTGAAGACATTAAAGATATGGTTGATGGTTTAAAGATACTAAATTTCTCTCAAAACTTGCATCAGCTTATAGTCCCACTGAGAGTAAGTAATGGGGTACATTCCTCTCTAGTCAGTAGTCATTGATTTATGCCTAGCCTTTTGCCAGTCTAGTGTTTTATTACTATTGCATTTTGGATTTTTTGCAGGCCTGGGGATTGAACACAGCACTGTGTACTGAGACATACTCCCTTTTTTTGTTTTGAGACATCATCTTGCTAAGTGACTAAATGGCCCAGACTGGGCTTGAATTTGTGATCCTCTTCTCTCAGCCTCCTAGTGTGCTGGGATTATAGGAATGTGCCACCACACCCATCTAATACTACTATTTACTGTTATTATTCTACCTCTGCATTAATACTCTCATCTGATTATAACAGACTTTGAAAATTATCTCATGAGAGTATTAATGCAGATAATGAGATAATTTTCAAAGTCTGTTATAATCAGATATATGAGCTAATACATCAGTTTTTCTCATAAGAAACTCAAAATATAAACAGTAAAATAAAAGACAGATACTAGAAAATAGAGAGATAGTCTTTTGTTTGTTTGTAAACAGGGTCTCACTGTGTAATTTAAACTGATCTTGAACTCATAACAATCCTCCTGCCTCAGCCTCCAGAGTGCTGGGATTGCAGGTCTGTGGCACCATGCCCATTGGGATAGATCCTTTGAGGATGAGAAGAGGGGACCAAGAGATGGAGAGGGCAGAGAGTGGAAGGAGATGAAAAAAAATTAAGAAGTGTTACGTATATGTACTGGCTCCCCAGGAGTAATCACAATGCACCACAAGCACATACTAATAAAAATAAAAATTGGAGAAAAGTGAAGATGCTCTTGATGTTCATTTCCAATGCATGATATAACTCAGGTGAAGAGTTTTAGTAACTTATCCCACATCATGTGCCTATAAATATAGAGTTTAAAGGCAGAATTTCTACTATTGAAAACATAATTCAGATCACTGAAGAAAACTTTTTAGGAGTGTAACCTGCATATCCCAAGCTCTGAGCTTACAGAGTGAAAAATAACTCTGTGTGTCCAAAGGCCCTGCACATACATCCAATTAATTTGCAGAATGAAATTTGACCCCCATGGAGTGACTTTTCCTGGGGTACAACTGGGAGTTGACCATATATGACCAACATATGGTCCGTATGTTTGATAAGTATATCAATATAGTCAATCTTATCATGTTGTTCAGAAAAATAACTTGGCTCTTTATGTAGAATTAACTTGTAACCAAAAGTTCCTTCTACCTCCGCCTTTTTCATTTTTCAAAGTGAACTGACAGTATTTGGAGAGTGTAATGTTTTCTTTCTGCAGTGCTCCCGATAGAAAGAATGGCAGCCCTGACTCTGCAGTCTAACACTTCAGTCAGCTCAGGTGACCAACAGACATACTTGACCCCGCAGGTCCAATCTAGTTACGGTGAGTACAGCTCTCCGACCTCCGTCCTCTCTCTAATCTGCCTCTTCTCCTGGGAGCCCACTGTCTTTCCCTTCAAAAGTTACGGCTGTAAGGTTCAATGAAAGCAAACCCAGGGAGGACACTGAGTACCCTTCTTCCAATGGAATCAGGAGTTTTTTGGAAGCACAGGCCAGCATCCTCTTCAGTCTTGGATCTCAGTGTCTCATTCTTTTCGAGCTGTTGCACAGTTATTTGGTTGCACAGTTACTTCTTTGGATCTGAGAGTCCAGGCTTGCTTTCTGCCCCTAGCCATGTTTCCCAACCACTTCATGATCTTTGATCTCCAAGGTGATGTAGTAGTGTTTTCTTTTTCTCTAAAATGTCTTTTTCTCTGAATCTTCTTATGGTTTATATATAGATGTCCCCCATCATGTGATCATAGGCAGGGATTTGGGGAGAGTGATTGGATCGTGGTGTGTTATACTCATCAGTGGATTATTTCCTCAATGAGTTTATAGCTAAATGTGATGACAGGAGGTGGGCCCTGGTCAGAAGAGGTGGGTTACTGGGGGACGTGACATAAAGATACACCTCCCCTCCTGACTCTTCCCTAGCTTCCTGCTTTTATCAGGGCAGAGCAGCTTCTCCTCAATAGGTCCCTCTGCCATGCTTTTTCTTCCTTGGAGCTGGCTGACTGCAGCTTGGAACATGAGGCAAAATAAAACTTCTCCTCCTGTAAGTTGTATGCTAGGTGCTGTGTTCCAGGAATAAGAGAGTAACCAGGACAGATTTTTGGTACCAGAGAAGTGGATATTGCCATTACTTGACTGTGTGGTTCAGAAGCCTTTGGAATTGGCTTGTAAGAGGAGTTTGGACAGGTTTGGAGATGCTGCCTGGAGAAGCAGCCCTAGAATGTGATAAGCTAAGCTTGACAGGTGATTCCTGGTTGGAGCTCAGAAGAGCAGAATGCTGATAGAAATGCAGATGGTAAAGACCAGGCTCAGTTGGTCTCCCTTGAAAATAAGAATCCCATTGGCATTTGGACTTCAGGCCATGGGTGTTATTTGTGGTGGAAAATTTGTCTACATTTTGCTCATGTCCTGAAATTTTACGGGAGACTGAGATTCAGTGTGACAGACTAATTAACCTGGTAGAAGATATTTCAAGGTATCTGAATGTTCAGGCTGTAGCATGGTTACTTCTTGCTGCTTTTAGAGTGATATACTGTGAAAAATGAAATCAAAACCCCACTTAAAAAGTTTTTAGTTCTTGGCCATTTGTGGACTGGGAATGAGGTGAGGGATCCAAGCAGCCAAACTGATAAATTTGGACTTTAATTAACTGAGCTCAGGACCACTTGTACAGACTCCCCCATTTTAGAGTCCAAACAAGTGGCACAGAACTGGAAATTTATAGAGTTTTTAAAACAGAATCACAAAAAGACATCCTGTTGGAAACAATTTAGCTAGAATCTTACATTAATTTTTGGTTGACACCTGTATCCTGCTTCTGTTGAACAGGTTAATTTTTCTCTTGTGGATACAGCTCATTCTGCTTTTCTCATGGGCCTCATATCCTGAGTAATTTTCCATTCTCCTGGATCAAATACAGGGCACTAGTTAAATTCAGGGATCAAGATGACGTCAGTTGTGCCAAGCTACAACGGAGTAGAGAGCTCAAAGGACACATCAGTGAGTAAACCCAATCTGGGAAGCAGTGCCATGCGCACACCCCTGCTGGATTGGAACAGCCAGACCCCAGCCTCTGTCTGTAAGTCAGTGCCATTCAAGGACCAGGGTAGAGAGAACAAAGGACACACATGCACTCCTGATGGACTGGAACAACCAGACCTCAGCCCCTTCCAGCATCCCAGCTGGGAAACATGAAGTAGCATATATCCCCGCTTCCCAATACCATAAGTGGCTGGCTTAAATGGAGAAACACAAGCTGTGATGATAGCTATGGAACTGAAATGCAATTGGATGCCTGTGGTGCTTTGGTGTTTCACTAACATTGCAGGTCTAGGTCCAGTGGTCTGATCATGGATTCAGAGGACAGTGGTACACAGTGTGGCATCTAGGGAGGATCTCCTTCTGAAGGTTGCAGCCATTGTTGATTCCCTATGGTCTTGTTTTGGAAGTCCTATATTGTTTCCATTGTTTTTCTGGGTTGTTTTATTCTCTTTTGTTTATTTTAAATCTGATGGCAGGAGCAGCTATTTCAAAGATAAGATATATTATAGTAGCAATTTTGGATTTACCATAGGCTTGTTTTGAAGTCCTTTATTGCATTCATTGTTTTGTTTTTATTCTGTTCTGTTTGATTTTTACTATGTCCAAAGTTATCTGCTGCTATTTTGAAGACATCAAAAGGTTTTTCCAGAAAGTGCCTGCAAAATAAAGGAGAGCTTGGTTGTTGAAAACTTACCATTAAAAACAAGGCAAGTACTTTGGATCAGAACAACAGGAAAAAAATCACTTAAGGCATGTCAAATGAGCAAGGCCCATACAGTTTGAATCCTCAGTGTTGCAAAGGTAACTTTCAGAGAGAGCCCAAGCTCACACAGCTTGAGAATGGGAGCCTAGGAAACTTGTTCCTTGTTCACCGTGCTCCTGCATCTAGGCATTTGGAGGTCTCTGGAGCCTTCACCCAAAATGGCCTGGCAACTCCTGCAGATGGTGACAGACCTGGCATTATTCATGTCCTACAAATTTTACAGACTTGCATAGTGCAAGACTTTTGGGGTTGGGAAGGCTTCTACCCAGATTTCAGAAGGTCTGGGAGGCTGGGAAGTGTGCCTCAGAGAGGGCAGTGAAGACTGCAACAGATTGCAGAAACCAGGAGCATAGAGCATCAGAGGAAAGCTGCAAAGAGGGAACAAACCCAGCCCCAAACAGAAGCCAGAAGCGCTACAAACACTGGCAATGTCATAGGGATGGGGCCACCCAAGCCCTTTGGATTTATATTTTGCCACCACTTGCCTAGAGGACTGGACATGGAACTATGTGATTGAAGGTTTGCCTTGCTGGGTTTCAATCTTGTTATGGACCTGTTGTTTTTAGTTCTGTGTTCCTCCCATTTGGAACAATAGTGACAACACTATGCTTTTATACGTAGTGGTGTTTAACTTTCTTTTTGATATTCATAGGGTCTCACAGGTAAGAGTTCACTTTAAGTCTCAGAGGAGACTTTGCACTTGGACTTTTCAGCAATGCTGAAACTGTTAGGACTTCGGCGACTCTTAGAGGGGGACTAAATACATTTTGCCTAAAGAGATGAGTTTTTTGGAGATTAGATGTAGAATGCTATGGTTTGTAACTGAATCCACCCCTCCCTACCCCCCCTACCCCCCGCAAAACCATGCAGTCACAGGCAGGGTTTGGGGAAGTGACTGGATCATGTGTTGCCGTCCTCATTGGTGAGTTTGTCCACTATGAGTTGATAGCTAACTGTGATAGTAGGAGGTGGACCTGGACAGAGCTGCCAGGTCACTGGAGGACAAGCCAAGAAGCAGGTGTCTCCTTCCTGGTCCCTCTTTCCCTGCTTCCTGTCCGTCATGAAACGGAGCAGCTTCTCCCCAACAGACCCTTCTGCCATGCTGTTCTTGCTTTGAAGCTGACTGACTGTGGATGGAAACATGATATATACCCTTCCTTTAAACTATGTGTGTCAGGTTTTATGTCCCATCAATAAGAAAGTGACGAAGACAAACTGTTCGTTTGTTTGTTTGGTTGGTTTTTTTGGAGCAGGGTCTCCCTATGTATTCCAGGCTGGCCCCAATCTCTCAGCAGTCTTTCTGCCTGAGCCTCCCAAGTGCTGAGAATCTTGCCTTTGTAGTTCAGACTGGCCTTGAGCTCACTGTAAGGCCGAGGCTGGCTTCAAAACCAAGGTATTTCTCCTGCCTAAGCCTCCTGAGTACTCGGATTACAGATATGCACCAGTGTTCCAAGATACAATCTTATTTTTAAAATTCTTCATTATAAAAACAACGTTTAGAAACTGGTAATGTTTTCGTTGTTTTGTTTTTTTTTTTTAAATTTGTTTGTTGATTTGTTTGAGACAGGGTCTCGCTCTGAAACTCATTCTGGGCTTTAATTCACTATTTAGCCCAGATGGGCTTGAATTTACAGCAGTCCTTCACCTCAGCTTTCTGAGTGCTGGAATTACGGGTGTGTGCTACCACTCCTAGCCTGATAATTTATCTTTTTTTTTTTTTTTTTTTTTGAGACAGGGTTTCACTATGCAGTTCAGGTTGGTCTCCAGTTTACTTTGCACACCACACTGGTCTTGAACTCAAGCAGTCCTGCCTCAGCTTCACAAGTGCTGAGATTATAGGAGTGTGCCACCACACCCAGCCTGGTTTGGTAATTTTGTTTATTTATTTAGGTAGCAGGGATCAGACTCATGATCTTGCCTGGCCTGATAATTTAATAGTTATTTTAAAACACCCATACTCAGCAGTGGGCTTTAACTGATCACTATGTTATAGGCAGCTGAGCTAGTTAGAAATATCATAGGCAGTCACATAGGGACAGGCTGTCGAGGAAGCTGGCACAGAGGACCCATAAGACACCTCCTGCTGTGGCTCAGCTCTCAAAATAGAAGGTAAAATAATTGCAACCACACGTTTAAGTATATACCTTAGGGATTAGGTATGGATTACTTTGAGAAGCCAGGAGTCACCATCCCCATGGGAAGAGTCACTAATCCGAAAAGAATGTTTGCTGGCTACACAGCTCGCTTCCCCATTTGTCCCTGATTTGGTTAATTTTACCTGAACAATTAAACTTACTGCTTGACCATAGCTCTGTTTCACTCAGTGGCCCAGGCTGGCCTTGAATTTCCCGTCTTCCCTCAGCCTTCGAGTGCTGGGATTATAGGCCAGTTCCCCTTTTAGTAACTACCAGTTTTTGCATGAAGTGTACTTTTTTCTTTTCCTTCCTTCCTTCCTTCCTTCCTTCCTTCCTTCCTTCCTTCCTTTCTTTTTGTTTTTGAAACAGGATCTCATCGTGTCATTCAGGCTAGCCTTAAACTCACTACTAGCCCAGGCAGTCCTCAAATTCATGACAATCCTGCGTCAGCCTCCTAAGTGCTAGGATCACGGGTAGGTACCACCACATCCTGCACTTTCATAAGTGAAGGGCAGGCCAGGATTTTCAGCTTCAGGGTTCTTTTTTCATTGCTTTTGAAGTTATCAGAGACCTCTTTTCTTTCTGTCTATCCTTTTCTTTTGTCTGTATTATTGTGTTCAACAAAACCTTCCAGCAGAATATGATACTTATTCCAGAAAGTACATGGCTTGTGTCTAGCTGTCTCCCCAAAGCCTCAAGCAGTCATAAGTGGGACTTTTCAGAGCTGTGTGTGATGCTAGAATCAAGGATGTGATGATGGGGTTGATTCATGGGGTGAGGCTGGGATTAAGGCTGCCCTGCTCTAGGTGTGAGTGCTACCTGAGCTGAGGTGAGGAGCCCAGGTAGGATACAAGGGACAGAAAGAGGGCTTTTGCTTGTTGCTTGCTGCCTTCAGCTTTCTGCTGGCCAGGAAGTGCTTCTCTGTCATGCCACCCTGCTTTGGAGTCAGCCAACTATGAATTGAAACCTCCACAAACTGTGAACCAAATAAACCTTTCTTCCTTTGACTTTGGTTTTTGGGCATTTTTGTCTCAGAAACAAGAAAATTAACTAAGATATGTTATGCTTGGGAAGAGAGCTTTGGTTAATTAGTTTCAGGAGGTCAGGGAACTGTACTCCATCCACTTTAGACCTATCCAGATTCTTGGAGCTCACAAGTTGGAGTCAGGGAGGGGGATGCTCCTGTCTTCTCAAGCCCCAGTGGTCCCCTAAATTCCCTCTGCATCTCTGTGCATGGATAGGTGGGAAGTTACAACCCACAAATGGCTCCAAGGCCCATTCAAAAAGATAAAAAATAAAAAGACTGGTTGTTATACCAAGATTTGAGTGAGAAGCTTAGGTATGAAAATCCATCCTACTTAAAGAGATTCTTCACATCAACACAGAAGCAAGATAATGATCATTTAAAAGTATACAAAAATCTAAAACCATGCACAAAAGATCAGTACTTTCCTTCTCTTTGTCATTTATAGGGTTTTTTATAATTTAGTTTACCTTCTGGGAAGTTTTTACAGTTTATAAATCCCCTCAGCACAAATCCACAAAGTCACTACAGATGATCACAGAATCTTTACTCCTTCAGCTTTTGCAGCCCCCCAACTTTCCTCATTCTGCTCTTGCATTCCTCTTACTGTTTGCTTGAAGTCTTCGTTTTTAGTTTGCATAATCCAAAGAATCATAAATCATGCAGTCAACTGTCATAACTTTTGTGTGTGGGTCAGGGTCTCACTGTACAGGTCTGGACTCACTACATGGCCCAGGCTGGCCTCATATTCACAGAGACCCTCCTGCCTCAGCGTCTGGAGTCCTGGGATTACAGGCATGTGCCACCTCCTCCAGCCAAAGTCAACGGTCGCTCCACAAACAAGATGGCTTCGTTGCTGTCTCAGGTACGTTTGCTGTCTCGGGGCCAAAGATATCAGTGACCATTTGTTTCCTTTAAAGTAGTGGCTCAGTACCTCCTGGTTTAAGTAGTTATTGTGTCATTCATGATGGGCAATCCTCAGGCAGCCAGGAAACAGAGCAACTTATTTAACCTACTTTTATATATAGTGTTTAGATATATACAAGTAGGTCCTAAATCTAGGGCTTTTATCTTTAGTTTTGTTACATGATTAAATTAGACCATATATATGTAGTATTTGCATTTAACATTAATAAACCATACTGTTTTCGTTTTTTGAGACAGGGTTTTGGCATGTAATTCAGGCTGGCCCTCAATTTACCGTGTAGCCCAGGCTGATTTAGAACTGAACAATCCTACTGAACAATCCTCCTGCCTCAGCCTCGCAAGTGCTGGATTATAGATGTGCACCACCATGCCCAACTAGCTGTTTTGCATAAAGTGTAGTTTACATTCTTCTGTTCATCCTAAGATTTGAAATCCAGTGATAATTTTATGCTTATCTAATCTAGCATATCTCAATCTAGAAGCTAAATTTTTACCAGAAATACTTGATGTAAAAAAGAAATAAAACTTGATGTCTCTGGGTTTTATAACATTTATAGTTGAAAATTATCCTAAGCATACTTAAAAGTTTTCCAATAACTGGATTATCACTTTTAAATTTTAAATTAACTAAAGTCCGCTGAAATTAGAAACCCCGTACCTGAGTGGAATTGGCCCTGTTTCATAGACTGAATGCTTATTTGGAGTAGTGGCTACTGATTTAGACAGACAGCTCCAGCAGGTAATCATGAGGCTGGAGAACAGAATCATCTCAACTGTGTACTGTTTGCCATCTAGACAAAGGGATTATCGATTTCTTCTTTAAAAGCAATATAAATTTAGGTTGCAGGGTAAATTCGTGGGCATTAGCGAGAGGGAGAGCAGTTATCTTACTATTAAAAGTGGCGTCCTCTTGGCCTAGAAAAACATTCCCAAAGATAGTCTTCCAAAACCATATGCCAAAGGTACTGTGCTACTAACAATGTATTTTATTTTATTTTTGAGGCAGGGCCTTGAACCTAAAGCAGTCCCTTTGCCTCAGTTTCCTAAGTGCTGGGATTACAGGCATATGCCACCATGCCCAGCTCTAACAATTTGGGTTTTTTTTTTTTTTTTGTCTTTTTCGTTTTGATCGGTACCAGGATCGAACACATGACTGCCTGCTTGCAAGGCAGGCACTTATGCCGCTGTGCTAAATCCCCAGCCCCTCTAACAATTTGTTTTAAAGTATAGATTATGTTCGTGGTAAAGTTCTAATATGTAATTAAATAGGATCAGAGTGGTGATAAAGATAACAGCAAACAGTTTTAGTGAGATAATTGTATTAAATAGAAAAAGAAAAATCAGTATTTCTGAATTCTTATTTTATGTATTTGACTTTAAAGATGTGTAAATGGACCTCGAACATGAGATAAAATTAGGAATATGTACATTTAAAATGAGTCCACATATATTTGATGCAAATTGTTTCTAATGTGTTCTTAGGTAGCAGGATCTTTAGTTTTTTCTCAGTGGTTATTCTTCCCTCACTGTGGTTGCGAGGCTCAGGTGAAGGTCTTCCTTTTCTCCAGATGGATTACATGATCGGAGATTCAGCACAGCACTGCTTTGCAGTCTAATTTATCTGTATGTGTGGTTACGCATGGTCTGTGGCTCCTGTTCAGTTAATTTTGGTAATGGTGTTTCTTTAGAGAATTTTACTGTCTTCCCCATTGCGGTTTACAAAATAAAAAAGAGTGGAGAGAGTCTTAGGGACTCTCCAAGAGATAAAGCCCAGTTATCAGGGGAGATGGAGGCTCCGGCATAAGTGGGCACGGGGCAGAGAGCCTTGCTACCAAGGGCTCCGCCACCCCAGGTCACCCCTCAGGCTCAGGTCTCCAGCTTCTACATCCTGAGTGTAGCTGAAAAGGGAGCAGGAGGGACCCACAGCTGGGCCAGTGTCAGATCATTGTTCCGTCCTTTGTTTTACTGGGAGGGGACAGGCACCATGAGTGTGATGGCTCGCTTCTTTCCCCCACAGATGCCAGGAGGAAGCAACAAGGTCGCACCTCATTCACCCGCCAGCAGCAGAAGGAGCTGGAGGCTCTGTTCAGCCAGACCATGTTCCCAGCGAAGAATGTCCGGGAAGAACTGGCTGGAAGGCTCAACCTGGAGGAGAAAACCGTAAAGGTCTGACCCTGGGGTGCACGGGGTACCCCAAACCATAGGAGACCATCCGAACTGGAAAGCCCCTCCCTGCCACAGCAATAACACTTTCCTTACCAAGTACCTGCTGAGCCAGCATTCAGCTGGGCATATCTCTTGGGTCGGTCTCCTTGTTATGCAGTTAAAAGAGGAAAATTGAGGCTCAGGCAATGTGAGTGGGTCTCAAGATACTAAGTAGTATAGCTAAAATTGAAATTTCAGAAGTAGTTGGGTGGGGGTGAGCGTAGGGATTAAACCCAGAGACTGTTGTGCTACATCCCAGAACATTTTTTAAAATAGTATTTTGAGACACAGTTTAGCTAAGTTGTCCAAGTTTGCCTGAATGTGAGATCCTCCTGCTTCAGCCTCCTGAATAGCTGTAATAGGTTGTGTGCCATTCAATCCAGCTAGCGGTTTTATTCTTAAGTCTTCTCTAGGAGACATTGCAGTTTATTCTTTCACAACACTACCAACAGACAGGTTAATTAATCCCTCCCTCTGATCTCTGGGTCTGCCTGGCCCATAACATTTTTGGTGGAATAGCCTTCATAATTCAGGCTTCCTGAATCAAGAATCTTAGTTCAAGCTGGGCATAAAGGCACACACCTACAATCTTGGCATTCTGGAATGCTGAGACAGGAGGATCCCAAATTCATACCCAACCTGGGCAACTTAGTGACTTGGCAAAACCTGCCTCAGAAAGATTTAAGCAGGCCTGGAGTGAAATTCAGTGTGAAAGCCCAGAGTTCAATCCCCAGTACTGAAAAAAATTCCTAGTTAAACTCCTCAGCTCTGGCTAGATGCCCTAGCCCTTCTTTCGAGTGCATAAATCTTTCCCTGAAGCAGTACAACCTGTGAGACACAGGCCCTCTTCTTCCCCTTCTCTGGGGACCCAGGCCCAAGTCTGCTGGCTCTGGTTGGCTCCTGCTGCCTTAGCTCTGGTGTTACGGTAAGGGGGAGAGGGCTACAGTCTGATCGTCTTCTCCCCCAGGAAGACGCCTTCTCTGTCCACAGTGGCCCTCTTTCCCTGCTCTAGATCTGGTTCCGGAACAGGCGTTTCAAGCTGAGGAAGCAGCAGAAGCAGGAGGAGCAGTCACTGCAGCAGTCAAAGCAGACGCCTCCACCTGTGAACAGTGTGCCTTCCTCACTCAGAGCATCCGCCAAAGCACACTACCTCACTTCTCTAGCTTCAGATTTTGATGGCTCCCTATCAAGGCGGCACACAAACCCTTGTGACTCATCGGAGGATGAGAGTCCCACAACTGATTTCCAAATGCGTGATTTTCAGTTAGACAAGCTGGAGGCCTCTGTTCGTGCTGTGTGTTCCGATGCCTTTGACATAAGCCAAATCATAGACCTATACAGTTTTCCTGATGAGTGTGAGGACTCTGACTGTTTTGGCTGTCTGTATCAGTATCTTTCACCTACAACGTCCCAGCCAGAAGAAAATGATGTCTCTCTCTGCTCCCTTTATGGTCCGGTTATTTGTCCACCTCCTGGGCAAACCTGCATACCCAGTGTGAGGAGCCAACCCTGTGCTGCCTGGGGTCCCCAGTAGCCTGGCTCCAGAACCCCTCCAGTAGGCAGACTGTATTTCTAATGGAAGTATTTTTACAATTAGTCTTGATGCATTTTGGATGCCCTTCCTGATTGCATTTGTCAGAGGGATTTTGTACACGATACATCATGATTCTTTTTTCCGCTGCTCCCTTCGACCCTACTTCCCTTTCTTATTTACAAAAAGCAAAAAAAGGTAAATAAACGTCAGATCACTGCAAAATCTTCTTGCCTCTTCCACATGACTGTCTTCTTTCCTTTGCCTGATTTTTAACCCAAATATCTGTCAGTGTTAAACTTTGTTTTTAATACAAATATTGTAAAGTAAAAATTTTTCCAAGTACAATTCACTACTAGACAGCCAGCTCCACAGGTCATGGGGAAAGTCTTTCTAGCCTTGAGAAAGTCACCAATACTCTAAAACTCTTTCTTCTTAAAATTTTTAAGTTTTTTTCAGAGACAAACAGTGGCTTTAGAAGTAACTGGCTTTTTTGGTCCTGGAAATTGAACCCATGTACACTGAGCTAGAGTGCCAGATCTTTATATTTTTATTTTCTGATTACTCAGAATTTATAACCATTCTGTTATGGTCTAGATCTAAAATCTCTCCCTAAAGTCTCATGTTTTTCAATTTTTTTTGCTATTGTTTTCTAATTTCATTCCACTGTATTTGGAGAACACATTTTGTAACATTTCAATTCTTTTAACCTTTGTTTTATGACTTCCAAATGCTGTATTTATTGATTTATTTATTTTTGTGGCACTAAGGATTGAACCTAGTTCAAACTGAACTAGATATCCAGCCCTTTTTTATTTTTTGAGACAGAGTTTCGCTAAAGTTACTAGATTGCCTGGGATGATTTTGAGTTTTCAATCCAGAGCACGAGGAGTACAAGCATGTGCCACCATGCCTGGATCAAATGCCTTTCTTTTCTTTCTTTCTTTCTTTCTTTCTTTCTTTCTTTCTTTCTTCCTTTCTTTCTTTCTTTTTTGGATACAGGGTCTCAGAATGCAGTTCAGGCTGACCTTGGAATCACTTTGTAGCCCAGGCTGGTCTCAAACTTGCAACAATCCTCCTGCTCAGCCTCCTGAGTGCTAGTATTTTTTAATTTTTTCGATGTAGGGTCTCTGGCCTTGAATTTGGACTAGTGGGAAAAGAAATCAGGAAAACTGCTCCATCCGTAACAGAGTCACATAAAATGAAATACCCAGGGATCAATCTAACCAAGGGAGTGAAAGACCTCTGCAGTGAAAATTTGGAAACACTGAAGAAATTGAAGGCATTAGAAAATGGAAAGACCTCCCATGCTTATAGATTTAATATTATTTAAATGCTCATATTACTCAGATCTATATAAACTCAATGTAATCTCCATCTAAATTCCAATGGCAGGGGCCAGGATGTAGCTCAGAGGCATAAGCACCTGCCTAGTATTGGGATCTGTGCCTAGATCTCCAATCTCTCAAACAAGAGCGAGATAAAGGCCCAAATGAAGGAGACAAATGGTATGATCTTTAGGGCTCCACAAGGACCAGAACTCTGCAAAGTTCATAACTCTGGTGGCTGAGAGAGACAGTGTCTTGGGCACCTTATTCGTTTAGTATTCAAACAAGGAAGGGGTTAGAGCAGGAATCCTGCTAAGGACCTTGGGAGGGGTTCGAGGACCCCTCCAAGCACCAGACAATGCTAATTAAGGAGAATTATCCTAGCAGAAAGTCTCCCGGTGTCCTCAGCTGTGGCCTGTCTTGTTCAGCCATGCCCAGGTCATGCCACAGCCCTGTATGTGTATTCAGCTTCAATGGCTTCAACAGTCTGGCAAGTGCGAAGTCCTGAGTTTGATCCCTGGTACAAAAAAAAAAAAAAAAAAAAAAAAAAAAAAAATCCAGTGGCATACTTCACAGAATGAGAGAAAACAATGCTAAAATTCAAACAGAGGCAAACATGACCCAGATTAGCAAAGCAGTCCTAATCAAAAAAAGCAAGGCTGGAGGCATCACAGTACCTGATTTCAAATTATATTATAAAACCTTAGAAACTAAAACAGAATGGCAAGGAAAGAAAGGAAAAAAGTACAAGATAGTTACATTATAGCAGGAAATGCCTCCCACCTCGGTCAGTATACTTCAGTTGCCAGTTCCTGTAAAAGACCCAACACTATGATGCCTATTGTAAGAACCAATCAAAGGCAGCCAAGTACTCCATTTCTCTACCTCTGCTTTGCAAGCGCATAGAACCTCCTTCCCTGAGCCTTCAAAACCCGATATTGTTAAAATATTGATTCCTTGTTAGTGCCATCTGTCATTAAATCTGACTGCAAATCCTGGGTGTCATTTGTTTATTGCTGCAACAATACTATTAGCTTCTTTTAGTTCATTGAAAAGGAAGGTTTTCTCATTTGGAGAATTTGTATGCCAATATCTTATACTCTAAGAAGATAACAGTACATGATATATTAATTATGGCTATTCTATTTGGTATAAAATTTTGTTTTATATTTTACATAAAATAAAATTCTAGAAAATAAATAAAATTTTAGAAAAACAATAGTACTGGGCGTGGTGACACACATGTGTAATCTCAGCACTTGGGAGGCTGAGACAAGAGAATCATTGTAAGTTCAAGAGCAGCCTGGATTACAAGGTGAGCTGACAGCTGGCCTGCACCTTGGCAGCTGAATCAAAGACTCCATCTGGGACATTTGTACCATCTCAGGTTGAAATCCAGCAAAAGAAAGAGGAGCAGCACAGAGGAAAGGCAGATAGTGTCTCAGCTCAGAGAAGAACCCAGAGCACAGAGCACAGGCGGGAAGGTGAGCCATGTGTCGTTAGCACAATTTTCCAGGACTGTGCATGGATTGGTGGAATATTCTGATTCAGTCCCTGCTTTATTGAGTGTTATTCCTGCACTTCAGTCAATAACAGCCCAGATTATTTGTGACCCATCATTGCATGGAGATGTTTGATCACAGCTGGAATTCTCCCCTCATGTCAATTTTGTCTGCTTTTGGGGTACTGTCCCGGTTTGTTCTTAGTGAGACTGTGAGGACCATTTGGTTTCAAGAGCCAGCTGAACTGGCATTTGAAGTCCCAGGGAAGATGCCTCACCCATTCCCTGGTGTCAGCAAATTGCTGACATGCTCTTCGGCCTTTTACTGCAGCTATTTCTTGATCCAGAGGATGCTTCTGAGTCTCTTTCCCATCCTTCTGGTCGGTCCGTTGGTTAGCCTGCTGTGATGTCCCTTCTGTATGCACTGTACTTCTTCAAATATTATTGGTTCAGTAAAAGAATTGAAATGCACTAGTGATTGTCAAACATAGAGAGGAATTGGCTTTGCCACTTTGGATGTGGTCTGCCCTGGCTTTCCCCACAGCAATGCCATATTCATATATTATCAGTGCTACCTCTTCTCCGACCTCTTTCTTTTATTCCACATCAATCAATGCCAGTGAAGCAAAGACCCCTGCAAAATTGTGGGGATTGAATTGCTGTTCCGGCAGGGAAGATGGTTACAGTCATGCTCATCACCCTAGGCAGAGTTCGTGAGTGGAAGCAAAATGTAGCAGAATGCTTCTGTTCAGAACAGAAGTAACTGTTCAAGAACAGAAGTATTCATGAACGGTGGCATTGCTGCACCTGTAAACAAGTTAAAAAGCTGGCATAGTTATATTAATACATGTCACATTAAACTTTTTGTTTTGTCTTTTTTTTTTTTTTTTTTTTGAGATGGGGTCTCGCTATGCAGTTCAGGCTGGCCTTGAACTCACTTTGTAGGCGAGGCTGGTCTCGAACTCACAACGATCCTCCCACCTCAGCCTCCCAAGTGCTGGGATTACAGGCATGATCCACCATGCCGGGCTTTTGTTTTGTTTTTGATATAGTGTCTCACTATGTAGTTCAGGCTGGTCCCAAACTTGTAGTGAGTCTTTGCCTCAGCTTCCCAAGTGCTGGGATTACAGGTGTTTTCACCATGCCCAGCCTTATTAAATTGAACTTTAAGGCAAAATGCTTTATTAGAAATAAAGTATACTAGATAAAAGGAACAATTAACCTGAAACATAATTCCAAACTTTTATATAGTTAATAGCATATACTCCAGGACTGGGGATTTAGCACCTGCCTGGCAAGCACGAGATCATGAGTTCAATTCCCAGTGCCAAAATAATAATAATAATATACCCCAAATATATGAAGCAAAAATTGGTAAAAATTTTTTTAAAACCGAGCAAATACATCATCATAAAATTTTTATACAATGCTCTCGATAATTGATAGGTCAAGTAGATCCGAATTTAGCATGAGTGGAAAAGATTTAACACAGTTAATAAGTCCAATCTACTGGAAGTACATAGAATTTTACATCTAACTGGTAGAGAATATATTCCATGAAACAAATCTTAACAAACTCAAATGAATCAACAACACACATACAGCATTCATTGATCACACAATAATAAAAAAAAAACTCACTTCTCTTATTTAGAAAATAAAAATCAATTGAAAAAGAAACTATACTTTGAATAATCTGGTCACACACATATAATAATGATCCAGAGCAGCATTCTGAGGGAAGTGAGTAGCAGGTTTTTAGATATCTGTTACCCACAGCATTCTAGGTTGTCACAGAAAGACCTTGCAAAGCTGCAATATAGAACCAGGATGGGAGCCAGGCACAGTAGCCCATGCTTGTCATCCCAGCACTCAGGAGGCTGAGGCAGACGGATTGCAGTGAATTTGAGGCCATTCTGAAACTACGTAGTGAGTTTAAGATGAGCCTGAACTATGTAGTGAGACCCTGTCTAAAAAAACAAAAACAAGAATTGTGCTGGGACTGGGTCATTAGCCTTTATGCTAGTAGCCATTTTTTGTTTTGGTTTGGTTTTGCAATTTTGATTTTTGAAATTAGACTATATTTTACAGCAGCTTTAGGTATGCAGCACATTGAACAGAAGGTAAAATTCCTATATCCCCCATCTTTATGGATGTACAGACTTCTTCATTGT